TGTTCTCCCATGCCGTAGGCTCTCTTTTCATTTTGCTGTTGGTTTCTTTGGCTGCGCAGAAGCTTTTTATTTTGATGTATCCCATGTGTCTATTTTCCCCTGAGTTTCCTTTGCCCTAGGAGATGTATCGGTAGCTTTGCTATGAGACATGTCTGATATTTTGCTGCTTATAGTTTCTTCTAAGATTTTTATGGTTTCACAAGTTACATTTAGGTCTTTTAGCCATTTTGAGTTTATTCTTGTTAGTGGTCTAGTTTCATTTTTTTTTTTTTTTTTGCATATTCCTGTCCAATTTTCCCAATGCCATTTATTGAAGAGACTGTCTTTACTCCATTGTATGCTCTTGCCTCCTTTGTCAAATATTAATTGAGCGTAATGGACTGGCTCAATTTCTGGGTTCTCTGGTCAACATACCTGTTCCCTTGATCTATATGACCAGGCTCTTTTGAGCACAGTGGCTTTGTAATGTAACTTGGTATCTGGTCTTGTGATCCCGCCAACTTTGTTCATCTTTCTCAAGATTGCTGTGTCAATTCAGGGTCTTTTTAGGTCCCATATAAATTTTTGGAGTGTTTGTTCTAGGTCGGTGAAATAGGGAGTGCCTTGAGTGTATAGATTGCTTTGCGTAGCACGGACATTTTAATGATGTTGATACTACCAATCCATGAACATGGTATATTCTTCCACTTGTTTATGTCTTCCTCTGTCTCTTTTTCAACGTCCTGCAGTTTTCCGAGTGCAGGTCGTTTATCTCCTTGGTTACGTGTATTCCTAAGCATCTTAATTTTGTCGTTGCAATGGTAAATGGGATTTTTTAATTTTACTTTTTAGTTTCTCTTTCTGAGAATTCATTATTAGTGTATAAAAATGCCATCGATTTCTGGGTACACCTTGGCTTCTTTATTCTTCTAGTCCTCCCCCGCTTTTCCTTCCCCCCAAATAGATAGGTTTTATTGCTGATTTCACTGTGAGGACGAAATGAGGAAGTTACCGTCCATGCTCACCCCCAAGGGCCTGGCGAAGCGTGAATCCTCAGAGCTGCTCTTCACCCCCTGCACTCTGAGGTGGCATCTGGGGCTTGGGGCGACCCCGCTGACTCAGAACACCTCCGAACACGGGACTGCCAATGCAGCCCCGGTTCCAAAACAAAGACCCCGGGCTGCAGAATGAGCTGAAAAGGTGAACAAGAGGGCGCCGTACTCATGAGTCTGAACTTCGGTAGAATCTGACCAGTTCTCAGGAACGCCGGGGAACCCCATCGCCGATGGTCAAATTTTCACCCCATTTTCCAGAAACACTTACCAGGCAAGAGCCCTGCTCCCATGTCCTCCCGAGTCTCAAAGGACACCTCTAAGCTGGCCTGCAGAGCCAGCCTGCCGAGGGCACTCGAGGAATGGTTGGCTCACTGGGTGAGAGGTCGCAAGGGAGGACCTGCACCTGCTGGCCGGGAGCCACCTGTGCCCCTGCCCTCGGCGGGACCCGGGTCTTGCGTTCCCAGCGCCTTGCTTTCCTGCTGGGCCTCTGTGGGAGAATGGGGTGAACCTGCTGTCGTGTTGATGGAATGTTTAAGCCAGTCATAGCGCTGTCCCTGCACATTGAAATACCGTCCGGCTGACCTCTATGCCACAGGCTCATGGTGAGCTTGATGTGTGTGGGCGAGAGAGGCGGCCACAGGAACAAAGCGATTTGGGTTGTCTTCCCAGCAGGGGGGGGGGTGCTATGTCTGGGATCAAAACCTTCAGAGGAACCTGGGCCAATGCTGGGGGCTTTCCTGGGCCAGAGCAGAGAGGGGACAGGATTACAGGAGACCGGCGGCCACCTGTGGAATGTATCCATTCCCCGAACATGGCCATTCTTGGTAATTCTTAGACTCCGATGTGAGTGTGAATTTCCTTTCAAAGGCACCATCTTTGCAGAAAAAAAAAATGTCACAGTGAGCTGACTGGCGTGGCTCTGTGGTGGAGCGTCAGCCTCTGAACCAGGAGGTCACGATTCCATTTCCAGTCAGGGCACATGCCTGGGTTGTGGGCTCGATCCCCAGTGTGGGGTGTGCAGGAGGCAGCCGATTCATGATTCTCTCTCATCACTGATGTTTCTACCCTGTTTCCCCGAAAATAAGACAGTGTCTTATATTAATTTTTGCTCCCAAAGATGCGCTAGGTCTTATTTTCAGGGGATGTCTTATTTTTCCATGAAGAAGAATACCGTACACATTGATTGTTAAATGAAAATAAAGGAAATTTATTACCTGTCAACGGTACGGTAGTACGGTAGTTGTCAACACAAACTAGACAAACTGTGAATCCTACAGTATCAAGAATTTACTCATTTATTCAATGACAATCATGTCACCATCTTCTGCAACATCATCATAACAATCCAATTCCTGAATTTCCTGGTGAATTTCTTGTGACTCCATTTCTTTCAGAATCAGTGGACCAAATCTCTCATGTTAGCCTGGGGGGGGGGGGGACTTATTTTCGGGGGATGCCTTATATTTCACTCAGAAGGAAACCTGTAAATAGGTCTTATTTTCGGAGGATGTCTTATTTTCGGGAAAACACGGTAGCTCTCTCTCCCTCCCCCTCGTGCTCTTTCTCTGGAATCAATAAAAATGTATATTTAAAACAAACAAACAAACAAACCAAAAACCCCACAAAATATCACACTGATCGGTGGTGAAAAAACAAAACAAAACAAACCACACGTATATGGCTGTTTTGTGGCAAAACAGACTCATCATCAAAAACGTGTGAATGGTGACATTTGAAGGAGACTGAATTCTATTTCCAGCAGCTGTGAGACCGAACGCGTGACAAACGCTAGGGAGGGCCGCGCTTGGTTATGTAAAAATGTAAAGCAGCCGACGACGGCCTCCCCACGGGGGCAGTCAAGGGTTTCACTACTCCTTTCAACAATTTAATTGCGAAGGATAAAGAGCCGGTTATTGTTTTTATGAGGATGGCTGTAAGAAGCCACTTGCCCTTACAGCCAGGCAGCGAAAGTCACGAGGGAAAGCCAGGTCTGCCTTTTGTGTGTTTTTTCTCTGACCTGGAATGAGAATCAGCAGGAAGACCGAGCTCAGGCAGCACGGCTTCCCCAAATGCCGCCCTTTAGGCCCGAAGCTCTTACCCCGAGGAGGAAGCTGCCTGGCTGGGGGCGAGGGGCCTTTATCGGAGCTCCTCAGGCTCAGAACGTGCGAACGCTTCCCTTTCCGAAAAGCCTCCGGGGCTGAGACTGCACCGCGTTACAATGTCTGCTGCCAGGGTCATGGTCATGGTCGCTGTGACAAGGCTTGTCCTCCCTGGCACCGGGTCCTTGGAGAGAAAGAAGGAGGAAACAAACGTATTTTTGTCCAAAGGGGGCATCGTTCTTATTAGCGATCCTTACGCTTCTCTCTGAAAGGACTGGAGTGACGTATATGCTGTTTCCGTCTTCTGCGTTGCGACATTTTCGTAGTTTCGTTAGGACGTTAAGTAGCCATAGTGGTGCAGTAAGTTAAGTCGTAAGTGAAGATGTAATAATGAGGAAAGAGCAGGTTGGTTTTTTGTTTGTTTGTTTTTTATATTTTCTGGACGTATCCATGGAGCCAACGCCTAGCTCGGTGGTTCTCCCAGAATTATATTTGGGAAATACCAACCAACATGAGAGATAATGTGAAATGAAACGAAACACAGCAAGTCGCTTAAGTGAGTCCAGGACACAGGTTTTGCTGGTGGGAGGTCCGAGATTGGGTCTGAGTCCCGTTGTGTGCTGCTGTTTGGTCTTTGAGGAATGACTGAGGTCAATAGGGTGATGCTCGCGCCCTGCACCCGGGCAGATTGGGGGACGGGAGTGCGGGGTGGGGGAGGGGGAGGGGAGCTGGAGGGACCGCAGCGGGGGGCTGGTCTGTAAAGGCTGGGCAGCACACACCGGGTGGAAGCCACGTGTGTGGTCTGTTCTTTAAGGCCAAGTTCGTAAGGAAAGTGGTTTCCAACACTTTGCACAGGAAACAGGATGTGCCGTCTACAATCCCCAAAAGACACGGCGCCCGCCTCGGGGACGCGCCAAACCACACGCAGACAGGACACGCCCGCTCTGCACGAGGCCACGAACCCCTCTGTCCAAAGGCCTTTCTGCTGTGACTCTCCTGCAAGCAGGCAGAAGCCCGCCTGTGTTTTCTCCAGGCCGAAACCTATGCTTTCTTTTTTTTTCTTTTTCTTTTTTTAAAAATATATATTTGTATTGATTTCAGAGAGGAAGGGGGAGGGAGAGAGAGAAGGAAGCATCCATGTCGAGAGAGAATCATGGATCCGCTGCCTCCTGCATGCCCCACACTGGGGATGTGCCTGCCACCCGCCCTGTGCTCTGACCGGGAATCGAACCGTGACCTCCTAGGTCCTAGGTTGACACTCAACCCCTGAGCCACGCTGGCCAGGAGGATCTCTGTGTTTTCGGTTCCTCTATGGCCCATTCCCCCGCGGGTGCCCTGGCCTCGCCGGAGCTCGCGGTCCCGTGAGAGTGTGCTGGGCCCCTGACGGGAGGGACCGCCTCTTCCCCTCATCACTGCTGTATCAGATTGAAGCCTCGGCCACGTCGGCTCATCTTCGATTCTTGCTCAGGAAATTGGTGTTTTTTTTTGTTTTTTTTCCTTCCAATCCCCTGTGCCTGGAGCTTCTCTGTTCAAAGGCCTGCCCTGGACTCGCCCCTCCTCCCCCGCCTCCCTCCACAACACCTGTCCTGCTCTGCCTGCCTTGAGCCTTTAGGAATGAACTGGGAAGTCTCTGCGCCTGCTGTGCCCTGAACACCTCTAGAGGGCAGCTCTTAGCCTGGACGACAATGACTCTTTGCATTCCATCCTGCCCCGTAGGGAGATCCATTCCTGCCTGTGTCCTGGCACCGGACCGCCTTCACAGAGTTTGCTAAGGGCCGGGCGGCGGCATTGCTCTTGGGAGCGGCTGCCGGCTTCTCTTAAGAACGGCCCCCTGGTGACTCTTCTGTTCCCTGCAGGTTGGCTGGCCATGGCGCCCACACTGCTGATCCTTTGGGGGGCCGCCGTCGTCCTGGGAGCGGCCTGCCTTCCTGAGAAGAGCTGTAAGTGCCACCCATGAAAGCCAGGCAGGTCTCCTAAGGAACGAAGCCCTTCGCAAACGTGCCAGCTCTGTTTTCTGTAAATGATCCCTCCACTCGGGAATTACACGTGGATTAAAAAACAAACAAACAAACAAACAAACAAACAAACAAACAAAAAAAACGGGAGGGTATTTGTCCTCAGGATACAAACGCTCCAAACACCTGGATTTTGAGGAAGCAAATTGGCCAAAACACAAATTTGAGGCTGCCGTGGGAAGTCCTTCTGCCAGCGTGGGGGTTCGGGTCCCCCAAAAGGAAGCCCAGGAAATCAAGCTGGGGAAGGCCTTTCCCTCAAGGGATGGGTTAGGAGGCCCCACAGTAAAGAATAAGGACTCCCCCTCCATCCGCTGTGTGGGTGGGGAATGTGGGGACCGAGGGGCTGGTATGAAGTCACAGCCCCGTGCCACACACACACACACACACACACACACACACACACCCAGTGAGTCTGCCTGGGAGAACTAACTCCCTGTGGTCATGCCAGCCAGCGACTTACCTCTGTGCTGCCCCCGCAGCGGCCACTGGCCACGGGCACCGCTGAGCACCTGAAATTAAGGCTCCTGCCACTAAGGCATTGAGGGTGTGGTTACTTTTTAAAAATAATTTATTTCCTTTTCTTTTCTTGATTTCAGGGAGGAAGGGAGAGGGAGAGAGAGTTAGAAACATCTGCGATGAGAGTGAATCACCGATCGGCTGCCTCCGGCACGCCCCCTACTTGGGATGGAGCCCGCAACCCAGGCCTGTGCCTTGACCGTGACCTCCCGGTTCCTAGGTCGATGCTCAACCCCTGGGCCACGCCGGCTCGGCGGATTTTGTTATTTTTAATTCATTTGGATCTAATGAGCCAGATGTGGCCGTGGTGACCATCACGCCCAGCGCAGTGTAAGGTGGAGCCACGGGGTCTGTGTGGGTGGGGTGGGGCGGGGGTCACGGGAGGCGTAAATATGCGCTCAGGGTCAGGGGACGCATCCTGATGGCACAGCCGTGAATGGTCATTGTGGTGCGATATTGCCCTAACCTCAGACAGAACGGAAGAGGTTTGGTTAACACCTTCCCGGGGACCCAGGAGGAGACCACATGTGTGTACTAGTCTCCATGGTGGGATTGTAGGCAACTTAACTGTTCTTTTTCTCTCATCTGTGCTTTCAAAAATCTCTAAAACGGCCGAAACCGGTTTGGTTCAGTGGTAGAGCGTCGGTCTGTGGACTGAAAGGTCCCGGGTTCGATTTCAGTCAAGGGCATGTACATTGGTTGCGGGCACATCCCCGGTGGCGGGTGTGCAGGAGGCGGCTGGTCGATGTTTCTTTCTCATCGACATTTCTGGCTTTCTATCCCTCTCGTTCCTCTCTGTAAAAAATCAATAAAATATATTTTTAAAAAAAATCTCTAAAACAAACAGCCATTGATTCTATAATTTAAATAAAAGCTTTTATTTTGAAAGCAAAGTTGGGGAGTGGTTTACTAAGGAAAAAACCAACGCTCCTCTCCCCTGCAAGAAATAGCTACGAAAGCAGTTCTGCTTATGAGTCCGTTTTGACTTTGAATTATAATATGAAATCCATTTCCATCACGGACCAGCACACACGCACACATGTAGGTGCATGTGCAATGAAGGAAGAGGTTCAGGAAACACCGCCTTCCTGTGGTCTGTGAGGCACGGAGCAACGCTTGGATGTGTTTTCTGTTCTGTTTTCTCCCCGTGTCACTAAGAAAAAAAAAAAAACCACTGGCCACAAACCAGTGCATTATTATCCTGGCCAATTAGTGGGTAATGACCCTCCGTGTTAAGGCTAGGGTTCTTTTTAAAATATATACACCGAGTGGCCAGATGATGATGATCTCTCAAAGCATAATAATCTGGCCACTCAGTGTATATCCTATAGAATAAAAGGCTAATATGCAAATTGTCCCCTTGACCAGGAGTTCGACCAGTAGGCAGGCCGGCCAACCGCCCATGTTCTCTACCCCTGGCCAGGCTGGCCGGACCCATGCACGATTCATGCACTGGGCCTCTAATCACACACACACACACACACACACACACACACACACAAAGTGGCCAGATTATTATGTGTTCAGAGATCGTAATAATCTGGCCACTCGGTGTGTGTGTGTGTGTGTGTGTGTGTGTGTGTGTGTGTATAATTGATTTTGGAGAGGAAGGGAGAGGGAAAGAGAGAGATAGAAACATCAATGTCGATGAGAGAGAATCATGGATCGGTTGCCTCCTGCATGCCCCCTACCGCCCCCCCGCCCTTGGGGATCCAGCCATAATCCTTGGGGATCCAGGCATGTGCAAATTGGACTGTGACCTTCTGGTTCATAGGTCAATGTGCAACTATTGAGCCGCACGGGCTGGGCTGAAGCCACGTTTCTAATAAATCATGATGCAGTAACATACGCACAATCCATGAAAGAACTGCGGATGTTATAGGCAAACTCCTGGGCAAAGTAAAACAAAAAGAGAACGCGTTCAGAGCAGCTTCTAAGGAACTTCCTCCAGAATCACTTCTGCTTTATGCCTCCCGAGAGCCCTCGTCGGACACAGGACCTGCTGTGCACCTGCAGAGAGCGCTCCTGTGGCCTCTGACCTGCCCCTTCCTTCCACCAGGTTCCCTTCTCCCGCCCGTGAACTTCACCATCCAAGCTGCGGGGCTGGCCCAAGTGCTCTTACGCTGGGACCCGCACCCCGATCAGGGGCAGGGGGCCATCAAGCTCGGCTACCACGTGAGGATCCACGCCCCGGAGGACGAGGACGTGAGTGGCCCGCCGGCTGGCCCTCCCGTGAGAGTCCCCTTACCCTCCACGGCCCTTTCCTGATCCCGGGAAACCGCCATAGACAGCACAGCCGTGAACTCTGTGCTACGCCCCTCCCCCAGAGCCATGGTCGGCACACCTCGGCCCACGAGCCACCTGCGGCTCTTTGGCCCCTGGAGTGTGGCTCTTCCACGAAACACCACGGCCTGGGCGCGTCTCTGTTGAAGAAGTGGCGTTAGAGGAGGTTTAAGTTTAAACAATGTGGCTCTCCAAAGAAATGTCCGCCGCTGTCCTGCGGATATTTGGTTCTGCGGACGGATGAGTTTGCCGACCAGTGGCCTAGAGCAGAGTCTCCCTTGGGGGGATGTTGGGGAGCCAGCGGGGCCTGTGCAGGCCACGGGGCAGCCCGGGACGCCCGAACGCTCTTTCTCTGACAGAGAACGTTTAGTAACGTCTGAGGCACAGTGGCGTGGATGTCGGCTCTATGTTTTTCTCTAAAATAGCTCCGGAGGCAGAAGAGGCTGGCTGAGGAAAATGCAGGCGGCGGGGTGGGGGGTGAGGGGGTGGATGACCGCACCGAAGGCCAAGTTCAACGTAGACCAGAGACTTGACCTCTCAGGCCCCGGCCCGGTTCCCTGCGGGTTGTGCCAGAGCACCTGGAACCCATAGGTGCCCCCAAGTTACACCGAGGTGCCCCCCTGCCCAGCTCGCCCCGGGCTCTGTCTGCGAGGATTCTAGAGAAAGGCCACCAGAGTCCCGCTTTTGGCGGGACAGTCCCGATGTTTAACAATGTGTCCCGGGTCCTTTCCAATAAATGGGACTTTTTTTTTTTTTTTTTTTTTTTTTTTTTTTTTTAAACACCGGGGGATACGGGACACATTGTTAAACATCGGGACTGTCCCGCCAAAAGCGGGACGTCTGGTCACCTTACCCTAGAGACTTCTGTGGGAAGAAGGGGCCTCTGGGGGGAGATGGAGGGAGTCGGGGGTCCGAGGGCGAGGGGCCCGTTTTTATTTATTTATTTTTAAAATATATTTTATTGATTTTGTACAGAGAGGAAGGGAGAGAGATAGAGAGTTAGAAACATCGATGAGAGAGAGTCATCGATCAGCTGCCTCTTGCACACTCCCCTACTGGAAATGTGCCTGCAACCAAGGTACATGCCCTTGACCGGAATCGAACCCGGGACCTTTCAGTCCCCAAGCCGACGCTCTATCCACTGAGCCAAACCGGTTTCGGCTTTCGCTGGTTTTTATAAGAAGAATGTGTTCGTGTGTCTTTGAGGAAATGATTACGATGTTTTTGCCGTATGGTTTTTTTAAAAAAAAAAATATATTTTATTGATTTTTTACAGAGAGGAGGAAGGGAGAGAGAGAGAGAGAGAGCTAGAAACGTCGATGAGAGAGAAACATCGACCAGCTGCCTCCTGCACACCCCTCACCAGGGATGTGCCTGCAACCAATGTACATGCCCTTGATCGGAATCGAACCCGGGACCTTTCAGTCCGCAGACCGACGTTCTACCACTCGCTGTATGGGTTTTTAAAGCTGGGTATAAACGCCAGAATTGGGTAATTTATCCATTTTGCGGGAACCGCTCTCTGGAGGGACGGTTGCCGTGTAAACGCTGTCCGTATTGAACGGATACACCTCGCTGAGCGCAGGGGCGAGGGCAGGCTCGCAGGGCGGCTTTTGATGTGCCGTCGCAGCATCGAAAGAAAACGCCCGTCTGATGGAGACAGTTCCCGGGGGCTGTCTCCCGGTGACACCAGGACCCTGGGCTTTCCTTTCAGTACGAAACCAGGAGCACGGCGAGCAGCCGGGCGGCCCCCCTGCACCGGGGCTTCTCGGCCAGCGTGCGGACGGTGCCCTGGGAGGCGCCCTCCCTCCCGGCGAGCGGCTGGGTGTCCGCGGAGCTCCCAGCGCCCCCAGGTGAGGCCCCCGGAGCCCAGGGGCACGCGTGGACCCTGCCGGGGTGGGGCAGCCGGGCCGAGCAGCTCACGTTTCCTGGGTCCCATGAGCCCCGCCCGGCCCCCTTCCCCACCCGTCACACCCCTCCAGGGCGTCACCCCAGCAAGGTAGCTCTTTGCAAACGGTAGGTTCCATACTGCCCGGGACAATCCCTTTTTCTTGCCGCCTCGCCTCTGTCTTTCCCTTTGGTAGTGGGAAGGAAGGAGGGAGGGGAGGAGAGAGGGAGAGAAACGTGTGTGAGAGACAGATACAGGGATGGGCTGCCTCCAGCATGTGCCCCCGACGGGTGCCAGGGATGGACCCTGCAACCCAAGTACGTGCACGACTTGTCTGGGAATCAAACCCTCATCCTTTTGGTCGGGGGAGGGGGGCGGGGGGGCACTCTAACCACTGAGCTAACTGGCCAGGGTGGCAATCCCTTTTTGCAGACGGATGAGCTGTTCCCGACCACGGTGGTTTCGGGGGAAGTACAGGACTCGGGGGCCGCCCCCACAACGTCTCGTTCTTTCCCCTTGGCCCCGTCCAGGCTCTCCCGGGACCTCTGCAGTGAACCTGACCTGCTTCACACGCACCGTGGCGAGTAACGGGACGGGCGCCCGGCCCTACCACGTGTCCCTGCGCTGCGCCTGGCGGGCGGGCTCGGAGGCCCCCGAGGACACGCAGTACTCCCTCCGCTACAGGTGGGCGGCGCTGTCCCTGTGCCCGGCGCCTCCCCGGCCCTGCACTCACTCACGCCGTGTGTCCCCTCACTCACGCCGTGTGTCCCCTCACTCACACTGTGTCCCCTCACTCACGCCGTGGGTCCCCCTCACTCACACTGTGTCCCCCTCACTCACGCCGTGGGTCCCCTCACTCACGCCGTGGGTCCCCCTCACTCACGCTGTGTGTCCCCTCACTCACGCCGTGTGTCCCCTCACTCACGCCGTGTGTCCCCTCACTCACGCCGTGGGTCCCCCTCACTCACGCTGTGTGTCCCCCTCACTCACACTGTGTCCCCCTCACTCACGCCGTGGGTCCCCCTCACTCACGCTGTGTGTCCCCCCCACTCACGCCGTGTGTCCCCCTCACTCACGCCGTGTGTCCCCTCACTCACGCCGTGTGTCCCCTCACTCAAGCCGTGGGTCCCCCTCACTCACGCCGTGTGTCCCCCTCACTCACGCCGTGTGTCCCCTCACTCACGCTGTGTCCCCCTCACTCACGCCGTGTGTCCCCCTCACTCATGCTGTGTCCCCCTCACTCACGCTGTGTGTCCCCCTCACTCACGCTGTGGGTCCCCCCGACACACGCTGTGGGTCCCCCCCACTCACGCTGTGTGTCCGCTGCAGGTACGGCGCCCGGACGGAGGAGTGCCGCCGGTACAGCCAGGACGCGGGGCGGCAGCACACGGCCTGCTGGTTCCCACGGACGGCCATAGACGGCAAAGGGCGGGACTGGCTGGCCGTGCAGGTCAGCGGCACCAGCGCCCGCGCCGCCATCCGGCCCTTCGACCGGCTGTTCGCGCTTCCCGCCATCGGTGAGCCCGACACAGACACAGACCGAGGCGCCCCGGTGAGGGGCTGTCAGCGCCTCTGAGCTCCACCCCTTTCCTTCTTCTCTTTTGTTTTGTTTGTTAATCTTCAGCCAACGACATTTTTCCCACTGAATTTTAGAGAGTGGGAGGAAGGGGTTAAGAGAGAAAGAGAGAAACATCAATGTGAGAGAGACATATTGATGGGTTGCCTCCTAACCCTAACCATAACCCTAACCATAACCCTAACCATAACCCTAACCATAACCCTAACCCTAACCCTCCTGCACACCCCAACCAGGCCAGGGACTGGACCTGTGACACAGGTGCATCAAACCCAGGAATCAAACCCAAGACCCTTTGGTCCATGGGCTCATGCCCTCCACACCCCTGACATGTTTGGCCGGATGGCGGCGTTGTGGGCTGGGCTGTGGCTTTGGGGGCCAACAGCAGCATTGGGGGGCCGGATGGTAGTGTTGGGGGGCTGGATGGTGGTGTTGGGGGGCCAGAAGGCAGTGTTGGGAGGCCGGATGGGATGTTGGTGGCCGAATGGGGGTATTGGGGGGCCGGATGGGGGTGTTGGGGGCCAGATGGTGGTGTTGGGGAAGAGGGAGGAGACTACCAGTCAGAGCCGCTCGGAGGAGGAGCCGTTGATCCCCTCTCGGGGTGCAGGGGTTTCCACGGAGGGCTCTCATCCTCAGTGACTAGCCAGGGACCCCCCGGGGCCAGGAGGCCTGCGGCCTGGAGGCCAGTGCTGGATGCATGAGCCCCGCTCACGGCCCTCTCCTTCTCTGACCCAGATCACGTCAACCCTCCAGGGAACGTCACGGCCAAGGTCCAGGGGAGCCGCCTGCGCGTCCACTGGGAGAAGCCCCTGTCCGCCTTCCCGGGCCACTGCTTCGATTACGAAGTGAGAATCCACAGCGCCAGGAAGGGCTACTTCCAGGTAATTCCGCGGCTCCTCCAGCATTAAGAAGGTTCTGCGATCCGAGAAAGGCTGTGTGCGGGTGGAGAATGAGTCCAGCGATGACAGAGAGTTTTGAAAGGCCTTGGGGGTCAGGGGAGCTTCAGCTGAAGGAGCTACAGACGTCTCTCCTTGTCTCAGGACCCCTGCTTTGTATTAACACGATCCGATCCGTCCTAAGGCGAGGTGGAGATAAAGCACTTCAAAGGGTAGGGAAGCATGGCCAGGCTGGGGAATAGCCTACAGCTGTTCAGGTGTTTGGCCAACAGGAGGCAATAATGTGTAGTTAAGATGCCCTGAGCTGTCTGGCAGCAAGCAATCATCCTATTCAGGTTTGGGGGAAGTGCCCATTAGCCGTTCCCACAGGTGATTAGTACATGTGTGACTCAGTCCTTGTTGAGCCCCCACGTTTCATCAACCTTTTCATGAAACTCTTGTAATGATGACATGCTGGAATTGGCTCCCAGCAGGCCATTCCATCGAACCCAATGACCCAGGAGTCAGAGGTTAGAATTCCTGCTACAGAGGAGGGAAACTGAGGCTTAGGGGGACAAAACCTGCCCTGGAGGGAGAGCTGGGATTCAGCCTGCCCCTGAAGTCTCCCCTCTTTCTACTTCCCTGACACCCCTCCAGATGCACATCAGGGATCAGCAAACTTTTTTATTTTTTATTTTATTTTTTAAATATATTTTATTGATTTTGTACAGAGAGGAAGGGAGAGAGATAGAAACATCGATGAGAGAGAGTCATCGATCAGCTGCCTCTTGCACACCCCCTACTGGGGATATGCCGGCAACCAAGGTACATGCCCTTGACCGGAATTGAACCCGGGACCCTTCAGTCCCCAAGCCGACGCTCTATCCACTGAGCCACACCGGTCTCGGCCAGCAAACGTTTTGGCAAAGGGCCCGTTACGGTCGCTTTGCTAGCCCCACGGTTTGGCTGCCGTTCCTCAGCATCCGGTGTAGGACAAACGCCGCCACCGGCGGCACCGATGCCAACGGGCGTGGCGCGTGCCAGGGACACGTCACTAGGGGATCCAGCGTCATGCCCTTGGCCTGTGCCACGGACTGCTATTCTCTCGGCAGTTTCCGGCCATTTAAAGGTGCAGGACGCATTCTTAGCTCGCAGGCTCTGCAGAAGCAGGCAGCGGGCCACAGCGGCCCGGGACGGTCCTCGGCCGATGCTACCGAGGACGGAAAGCGAGGGCGCCCTGAGCGAGGAGGGACGCGGGGGAGGGACCGAGCATGGGCTTGCCAGCCACTGGGGTCCCTCAGCCTGGGGACTCCGCCGGGACCCCGATGGGCCATCTCGACCTGACGCTCGCCCGCTTCATTTATTTGGTCTTCAAGAGAGCTTCCCCCTGCAGGGCGACTGCCCGCCGCGCCGTCCTCCCGGACGCAGCCTGACACACCCTCACCAAGGCGGGTCCTGGGGCTCACAGGGCGGCGAGTCCCTCCCATCACGCACAGAGAACCTCTCGCCCCCATCGCGGGCATCACCGAAGTCCGTGTCTAGAGCGTTACGGGAATGCCATTTTTTTTTTTCCTTCCCCGTGTAGACAGAAAAAATGACGACCCATGAGTTCTCCACGACCATGAACGACATTGCTAAGTATTGCATCGACGTGAGAGCCGCGGTGAGCTCCGTGTGCAGAGAGGGCGGGCTCTGGGGCGAGTGGAGTCCAGCCGTTTCTGTGGGTGAGTATCGTGCACTTTGACTACTTGGGTGCTTGACTATTTTTGTTTAAGAAACGTTCTCACTGATTTGAGAGAGAAAAGGAGTGGGAGAGGGAGAGACACATCCATGAGAGAGAAACATCTACCAGCTGCCTCCTGCATGCCTCCTGCTGGGGAGCAAGCCCAAGAGCTGGGCACCTGAGCTGCTGACCAGGAATCAAAGGTGCCTAGGACGGCGCCCAACCCACTGAGCCACAGGGGCCAGGGCCCTCACATTTCCTTTGAAGCCAGCTCCTGGTTGGAGCAGAGAATCCCGGCCCAGGCGCTGACTGCTGAGCCGCACGGGCCAGGCCTGGAGCACGTGCATCTCTTTAACAAAAAAACAAAACAAAAAAACAACAAACGAGCAGTTTCACGTTATCAGTCCTCGGATCTCCCTCAACGGGCTCCCTGGCCTTATCGGACCGGCTCACTTCCCGCTTTCGAAGTCTTTCTGTTTTCTACGCTTGCCCAACTTCTGCATTCTGCTGTCCCCCGCTGTCCTCGCTGCCTCCTCCGGTGCACGCCCCTCTCCGGACCCCCGGAAGCCCTTCCCTCCCTGAGGCCCACCCTCTCACCCACCCCAGAGAAGCGCAGGTGCCACGTGGGAAGCCCCACGTGGAGAGGGGACTTGGTGGCCCCACCCCTCCCGTGGGAGGGAGAGGGTGGTGGACGCCCACCCGTGTCCACTGGCGCTTATTTCCGCCCCCACATCCCGGGTCAGGCTCAGTCCCTCAAGTCCTGCTCCTTGGGGACCAGGTCACCCCCAGCCCCAGGCGGTACCCCTCCAACAGGGCCTCGCCCGGACCCTCAGAGGCCGGGATCTACCGTGTTTCCCCGAAAATAAGACATCCTCCGAAAATAAGACCTAGCACAACTTTGGGAGAAGAAATTAATATAAGACACTGTCTTATTTTCAGGGAAACAAGGTATGCGATGCCTCAGGGACAATGCATTGGTGGGGGTTCACGGTCAGGCGCGCAGTGGGGCGCTGCTGGGAGAGCTCCCCTCTGGCCCTGCCTCCCCCCGGCGGGCCTTCCTGCACAGCACCCAGGGGCCCCAGCCCCCCAGAACGTTCCTCCCTGGGAGGCTGGGGCGGGCAGCCTTTTCTCTGCCAAGGCCCACGTGAGTCATTATAACATCCTTCAGGGGCCAAACAACGGATCCACTGAAACATGGGGCCCTGGCCGGGTTGGCTCCGTGGATAGAACGTCGCCCATGGACCAAAGGGTCCCGGGTTCGATCCCGGTCAAAGGCTTGTACCTCGGTGGCAAGCTCAATTGCCGACCGTGTTGGAGGCAGCCCATCGGTGTGCCTCTCTCACAGCGATGTTTCCCTCTCCCCCCTCTCTGCTCGCTCTAAAAATATCCTCGGGTGAGGATGAACAAAAGCAAATTAATAAAATGCATCTTAGGCAGTGGTCTTTGAAAAAAAAAAAATTAGCCCGCTGTAAAGCGGGACGTCTGGTCACCTCACCCTCACGTCATGGCAGGGCCGATGTCTTCACAGGCATCACATGCCCCCGGGCCAGACTTTCCCGCCCCTGCTCAGGGCTGCGGGCCCACCCAAGTCGCCAAAGGCTGCGGTCAGCCTGGAGAGGTGAGAATGCCAATCCCCCCCTTCCCCCCCTATTTAGGCAGAAAAAATGACGACCAACGAGTTCAACAGGACAGTTACCATTTCTAAGTACTGCATCGAAGTGTAGCCCTGGTCTGCCCCTTGCGGGGAGGTGACCTGGAGCCAGGAACCCAGCGTCCACGGGATTTGCCCCATGTGGCGAAGGGGGCACGGGGACGGAAGGCGTCAGCACGTATCAAGTACCAGGCTGTGGTGGCTGTGGCTATCATTAAGCACGTTGTGTCTAATGGCCTCTGAGAGTTACCCATCTGAGCTCTGACACCATGGAACCCCAGAACCGGCGAGGCTGTGCCCGGAGCGGGGGGACCAGGCCTGGGGTCCGGGTGGGGTGCAGGCCTCTGCCTTCTCCCTCTCGGGGGTGGCCCTGTCTTATCCCGCTGCACACCCCCTGCGCCCCACCCTCCTCCCTGGGTCAGACAGCAATTGCATTTTCACAAGTCCGCTCCTTCTCTAGGCTGAATGGCCGGATGTCAGAAGGGATCGAGGCCCAAATCCCCAGAAACCAGGGCGAGGCCACGTCTGCAAAGCACAGGGATGGGGGAGCCTGGGGCCCGGACAGACCGAGGGCAGACTTCCTCTTGGCTGAGCTCCCCTCTGCGGACCGCACAGCCCGCCCACCCGTTTCCTGAAAAGAACCCTCTCTGAGTTTCTCCTTGAGTCAGAAAGCTCACCTTCTAGGGAAACACTCGTTCTTAAGAAATTCTCCGAGGCCAGAGGCTCCGGAATTCAAATTGGTACCTCTGGGGGGCGGCCCCGCTTTGACTCGGGCCTTGAAATGAAATGCCAGCCACGGCCAGCGGAGGGACACGCTGTCGGGGGCATCTGCCTCGAACTATTGTCAGAGTGACAGGAAACGGGCCTTCCGGTCACTTCTGTAGCTGGTGTCACTGTTTTGCATGCATGACTAGCTGAGCAGCAGATAGCCAGTCCTTCCCACGTGTTGTGAGCTCCAGAAGCTCTGGCCCTCAGTTTACCCTCCGGCTGTGAGTCCTGGGCGGGGAAGCCGACCTTGGCCTGTTCTCTGGGAGGCTCAGTGCTCAGCACCGGGACCTGCGGCAGCCAGAGAGGGAGGCGAATCCCAGGCCTGGGAACGGCCATGCCCCCCGCTCCCCGAAGTTGTCCTCAAAGCCAGTAGAAGCGTCTGTTCAGATTCTTCCAAACAGACTAGAAGCAACTTTAACGAGAGACTCAGGTAGAACTTAGGGACCTTCGCCACTCCCTCCGCTTCCTGGCTGGGACGTGTCTGGGGATAAGACTGTATCTCTCTCACAGCAGCAGAGCCTGATGCCCTTGTCCTTTCTTTCTCTTCTTCTTCTTCTTCTTCTTCTTCTTCTTCTTCTTTTTTTTAAATGTCTTTTTATTGATTTCAGAGAGGAAGAGAGAGAAACATTGATGATGAGAGAGAATCACTGATCGGCTGCCTCCTGCAGGCCCCACACTGGGGATCGAGTCTGCAATGCAGGCATGTGCCCCGACCGGGAATGGAGCCCTGACCTCATGGTTCACAGCGGACACCATTCTTGCTGTGTTACTGCCTCTAAACGTTCCATTTCCAACTTTGTGAAGCATTTTGGTGGGGATGCCCTTCGGCTCCAGGGTAGCTTTTCCATCTAAAAACTTACTACTCCACCCTGCCTGGTGTGGCTCAGTAACCAGAGCACCAGCCCACACACAGAAGGGTCGCAGGTTCGACTCCCAGGGAAGGCCCCGGGCCTGGCTGCGGGTTCCCTCCTGCCCCGGTGGGGGCGCAGGCAGGAGGCAACCAGTGGATTCATCTCTCTCACGTGGATGTTTCTCTCTCTCCTCCTCCCCACCCCGTCTTCCCCTCCCTTCCACACTCTCTGAAAAACAGTAGGAAAATGCCCTCAGGGGAACATTGACAACAGATAAATAAATAAAAATAAAGTAAATAAGCAAACCTTACTGCCCCCTAGAGCAGAAGCGCTGCAGGTGGCATCGTGGGTAAACGTACACCAGATACCTGCTGGGTAGATGATGCTTCGGGGTGAAAGGGGGCGACCCTGCCCTCATTTCCTGTCCCCTCCTGGCGGGCTCCAGGCCCAGCGGCCGCCAGTCCCGCCCCGCCCCCGATGGCCCCGCCGCCCCCCTCTCTGCTCTGTTACCAATTCAGCTCCATCTCCTTCTTTCCGTTTCCCCAGGAGACGAGGCGCGGAAGCCCTGGACCGAGTGGTACCCGATCATGCTGGTGGCGGCCGTGTGCCTGGCCTTCCTCACCTCCCTCGCCTGCAGGACGTAGGTCTCTGCGCTGAGGTGGCCTGGTCACCCTCCCCTGAATTCGCGGGGGCTCTCGTGAGGGGTGGCATGGGTGGGGGAGGGTATGGCAGGGCCGTGTCGTCGGACGACCGTTTGGAGATGAGAGTGAGGTGAATCGGAGGCTGAGAAGCAGCCGCCGGTGCCTTGCAGATGGGCCTCGGCACAGCGCAGCCTGCAGCCCGGACACCCCCCTCCCTCTTTAAATCTCCTTTCATTGGCTGCAGAGAGGAAGGGGGAGGGAGAGAGATGGAAACATTGATGATGAGAGAGGCAGCGATCAGCAGCCTCCTGCACCCCCCACATGGGGAATGGAGCCCGCAGCCGATGCCCTTACCGGGAATCGAACCGTGACCTCCTGGTCCACAGATGGATGCTCGACCCCTGGCCGGGCGCCATTCTGTGTTCACCGGGGGATGCAGAAGCCACCAGGGGCCTGCAGCCCTCCGAGGGCTCCCGCCATTACAGCCATGGAGTCGCTGGGGAGGGGGTCTTGGCCGACAGATTTGAGGACACGGAGCAGCAGGCCCTGCCGTCCAGGGGGTCGGAGTGGAGGCGGCCCTGCAGGGCCTTATGCCCTATCGCTCTGTTTGCAGATGTCAGGCGTGGACCAAGCTGTTCCCGCCCGTCCCAGCACCCAAAAGCCACATTCAGGATTTCGCTGCCACCGTGAACTACGAGGTACGTCCCTTCGCTGTGTCCCACCTGCCGGGGTTCCCACCTGTAAGGCGAGTCTTCCCCTGGAGCCCGGCCGGGGCTGCAGGCGTCCCGCTCAGCTGACGGCTTTGCTATGGACATTCAGTCGGTTAGACGGCTCCCAGCCACCATTTGCTTCTGCTGTGGTAACAGGGCTTCTCTGAGGTCCAGGGGCCGTGGACGGTGAAGTGAGGGAGGGTTATGCACATGCACGCGTGGCAGCGCCCGGCGTAGATATGGAAGACACGTGGCTGAATACGGCCTCTTTGGGGCGGGGTCACTTTTTATTGCAAATTTTCTAACTGATATCAGTGTTATTACTATTATTATTAATTATTTCTGACGTCAGTGTTATTTAAAACCACCAAAATGGATGTAGCAAATGTATCCTTGAACAGAATACGATGGAACTATTAAAAATAGTGCAGCTAGCCGAAACCGGTTTGGCTCAGCGGTAGAGCATCCGTCTGCGGACTGAAAGGTCCCGGGTTCGATTCCTGTTAAGGGCATGTACCTTGGTTGCAGGCACATCCCCGGTAGGGGGTGTGCAAGAGGCAGCTGGTCGATGTTTCTCTCTTATCGACGTTTCTAGCTCTCTATCCCTCTCCCTTCCTCTCTGTAAAAAAATCAATAAAATATATATTAAAAAAATGATGCAGCTAATAAAAAAGGAAGGATGAGGCCAGGGCGGCACCACGGGAAGTGAGCGCTGTGGAGTGTTCCCAGGAGGAGCCCATGTGCCCGGCGTCTATCACTGACCCTGGAACGGCCCCGATGAGTCCCCCGCAGAGGGCAGGGCTGGGGCCGGGCTGTGCTGGGGAGGGTCTGTCTGGGCATTCACTCCTTCTTTTCTGCCTGATTTGCCACGTGGTCGCCCCGAACATTCACCGTTTTTAGAAGCAAAACGGGCTTGGGCGTGACCTTGGTCCTGAGGCCGGACGGAGAGCGGAGAGGCTTTGTTTTGCAGAAGTCGGGGTCCCGGGAGACGGAGAGCGAAGTCATCAGCTACGTGGAGGAGCCCGAGGTGCTGCAGGACTTGGTGTTCTGAGGCCGCCGGCCGCGAGGGAAGGGCGAGGACGGCGTCCGGCTCCGAGGCTGTGGGGAGGGACCCGCTGCCCCTTCGACGGGCAGGCCCCGGGGGTGCCCTCTCCCCTGTCCGTCCCGCACACGCTGCCCCGAGGCCGAGGGACGCCGTGGGCCGCCCTGCGCCGGGAGCTGGACGTGGCGGCATGGGGCCGAGGCCGAGGCCACGGCGATGTCTGGGAGGAGGCGGCGTCCCTAAGGCTGTGACAGGACAGGAGCCGCAGGGCCACGAGGGCCTGGAATTTGGCCTCCCCGGCCCGGCTCTTTCGTGCGTGACTAAGAGGAGCTGGGCCTGGGAGAAAGGTCACCGTTTTTTGTTAAAAAAAATATATTTTTGTTCATTTTAGTGAGGAAGGGAGAGGAAGAGAGTGAGAGAAATAGCCATGATGAGAGAGAAGCATGGCTGCCTCCTGCACGCCCCGCACTGGGAATTGAACCCATAACCCCGGGCATGTGGCCTGACCGGGATTGAACCCTGACCTCCTGGTTCATAGGTCGATGCTCAACCGCTGAGCCACGCCAGCTGGGCAGAAAGTGGTGAGTTCTGAGTGGCCACTGGCCCTGTCCTGGCCGGAGAGAGCGGACATTCACGTAACAGTAAATGCCCTCGTTGGCAAGTGGAATAGACATTGGCCCAGCCTCCCACAAGGGCGGGTGAGGAGGCACTCCCCCCCCAACCCCCAGAGCCTGGGTCATGGACCAGAACACACGGGGCTCTTCCATCATGCCCCCCCCCCCCAGGGCTGAGACCCCCCTTCCCTGTCCCTCTCTCTCACTCCCCCCCCCCTCTCTCTCTCGCTGTTGGGATTCTCTGGTGCTTCATGGGGGTGGGGCTGGAAGGTTCAGTTTGCCGAAAGCTCCCCCATCGCCCACCTGAGCCTCCTAGCAGAGCCTGGGGCCCAGGCTGTTTGCCGGGGTCGGGGGTCGGGGTCGGGGTCGGGGTCCGGGTCGGGGTCGGGGTTGGAGGTGGAGCGGGGAGGGATGGTGGAGAAGTCCAGCTCGCAGAGAACTCTGATTAAACACCAAACTTTCCCACGGCGGTGAGACTCGTATGTGTCAGGACCGTCTGCCGTGGCGCTCACAGAGCGGAGGTGCTGACTGGCTAGGAGAACCCGCTCCCTGCCCGAGTGAGACCAGAGCCCGGCGCTCCTGCCGGCGGGGCCGGGAGAGACCTCGTTAGGCTGCGCCCGGAGCCTCGGCGACAGCGACGCCACGGCGACGGAGCCGCTATTCCTGTCCCACCTGCACGCCAGGGTCCCGGCACGGACCTCCTGGAAGCCATTGTGCTTTTGAAATTATTCTATTGAACCCAAAGACAGTCTCCAACCCCGTTACCCCCCCCCCCCCGCCCCCATCACGCCGTGTTAGAAACAGACGTGCGTGTACACGCAGCTCAGGAGGAGAAATGCCAGCATACGTGAGGGCGGATCGTCTGAGCTGACCAACTGGACGGAGGTGTCTCCCGTCCCCCGGAACCCCGGCCCCATCACCGCTCCGTCTCCCCAGGAGCCAGCAGCGGCTCCCGGAGCCCTTCCCGCCCATTTCCTTCCCCGAAGGGTCTGTGCCACCCGCGGTGTCACCCCGTCCACAGCCCTCACGACCCGTCACCTTCGCAGCAAAGCCCCCTGTGACTAGCAGGTCGGGCCTGCAGCCCACCCCCGGGACAGCTGAGCCATCTGTCGCCGTCCGCTCTCCACCCGCAGCCTCCGCCCCCCGTTCTCGGGAAAAGCCTTTCCGCCTGTCTCCTCTCGCTGACATTTATCTGGGAGACTCGGCCTTGGCCCCAGGAAGTCTCCCTCTGCCTGCCGGTCCCTTTGGGTGTGTGGATGGCCGATTCGGACACTTACCTGCAGTTCCACAGCCTCCTCCTCTCTCACGGGACGCGGGGACACTGAGCGTGGAGGACCGAGTCCTGGGGCCCGTGTGGGGGTGACCCCCGGGCAGGACCAGCTGAGCTGCTCCGGACACGAACACAGGCGTGTTCGGAAAACAGACCAGGAACGCGCCAGGCCTGGCGGATCTGCGCTAATGAGCAGAGGATGGAAATCACCTGCTGCGCTGCCTCTGGCCTGCAGGGGGCGTGGCGCTCAGAGCTCGTCACGCGTGTCTCTGTCCCTTTAGTGGCTCTGCATTCTTTGGGAGGAGGGCAGGGGACACCCTGGGGAGAGGCTCATCGGGGCTGGACGTTCTTCCCCATGTAAACAACCTGCGTTTCACGGTAAGAGAAACCGATCCTTCTGCCGTGGTGGGCAAACTGCGGCTCGCGAGCCACATGCAGCTCTTCGGCCCCTTGAGTGTGGCTCTTCCACAAAATACCACGGCCTGGGCGCGTCTATTCTGAACAAGTGGCGGTTAGAAGAAGTTTAAGTTTAAAACATGTGGCTCTCGAGCCTACCAGTGGTCAAGGACAAAAGGGAGGTGGAGGCATGAGTGGGGGTGGAGTGGGGGATTGGAATGGGGGGGTTGAGGACAAATATGGGATACCTTAATCAATAAAGAAATTAATAAAAAAATAAAAATTAAAAAATGGCATGAACAGAAATACCACAAAAGGAGAAGCCAACTCTAAGGTCTTCCAGAACTAGTGACATTGGAACTAGAATGTTCAGAGTTCTCCACATAGAAGGGAAGAACGATCAGCAATCATTATTTAAGAACTAAAACTCTTACAATCTAATGAGCTATTGCAATAACCAATGAGCATTAGCTTAGAAATCCAAGGGGTAAAGGACCATGGGAGGTGTGCTGGCTTTGTTCTAGACACCTGAATGTCTATTTGTTGTTGTATTTTCTCAAGATGCCTAATGTGCTGCTCCATAAGTACATTCATTTGCTTTTCATGATCATAAAAAAAAAAAAATGTGGCTAGAGCTTCGGTCTGCGGACTAAAGGGTCCCAGGTTCGATTCCGGTCAAGGGCATGTATCTTGGTTGCGGGCACATCCCCAGTAGGGGGTGTGCAGGAGGCAGCTGGTCGCTGTTTCTTTCTCATCGATGTTTCTGGCTCTCTATCCCTCTCTCTTCCTCCCTGTAAAAAATCAATAAAATATATTTTTAAAAACTGTGGCTCTCAAAAGAAATGTTAGTCGTTGTGCTGTTGGTATTTGGCTCTGTGGACTAAGGAGTTTGCCGACCACAAAAGCCCTGGCAGTTCCCGCGTCTGGGCTGAATGAGTCCCGAGCTCCCCTGGACACGAGAGGTTCCCACACCGTCGGCTCCCGCGAAGGAGCCGGGCTGCCCGAGGCTCCGTGAGGCAGGACACGCAGAGGATCCCGTCACCTGGCACAGCAGGATTTCCTCGGACACGGTTGCTTCCACGGGATCTCACACCAAGCCAGAGGCTCAGGGGAAGCCCTCTCGAAGGCTAACTAGCTGGCCGGCATTGATGATTCTCTCTCCTCATTGATGTTTCTCTCCTCTCTGAAATCAATAAGATGTTAAAAAATAAATAAACTGGAAAAAGAGCTGATTTATCCCAATAGGACCTCAAAGAATTTCCAGTGTCCCTGTGGCTCCGTGGTTGAGCATTGACCTTTGAACCAGGAAGCCATTTCGGCCGGGGCACGTGGCCGGGTTGCGGGTTCGATCCCCAGTGTGGGGCGTGCAGGAGGCAGCAGATCCATGATTCTCTTTCCTCATTGGTATTTCTCTCTCTCCCTCTCTGAAATCAATAAAGATAAATATTTTAGGAAAAAAGAGAAAAGGCTAATTAAGCAAAGGAGTCCTCTCCCCGTGCCCCATCAGTGCCACTGGCCGTGATCCCAATGACAGGACCCCCGCCTGGCGTGTTGGCGGGGCCTCGGGCCTGGGACGTCCCCCAGGACAGCCGGGCCCAGAAAGTGAGACCTTCCCAGCACCCCTTCTCCCATCCTCCTCAACGTCACCCGTTTCCCTGAGCGAACCACCCTCGGGGGGGTGTGCAGGCCTGGCCAGAACAGGAGCTCCGGCCGGGCGACACCAAGGGACTGGCCAGCCTCTCCCAGGAAGGCGGACCCTGAGCAGAGCGGCGTCAATATCGGAAAAAAGAGCCGGCCGGCGTGGCTCCGTGGTGGAGCACTGACCCACGAACCAGGAGGTCAGGGTTCGATTCCCGGTCGGGGCACAGCGATCCCCAGGAGGGTGCGTGCAGCAGGCTGCTGGTGGATGATTCTCTCTCCTCACTGATGTCTCTCCTTTCCTCTCTGAAATCAATAAAATGTAAAAAAACCCCAAAAAAACAAACCCCCAAATAAATTGGAAAAAGAGCTGATTTATCCCTACAGTGTCCCTGTGGCCGGGGTCCCTGGGGGCCTGGGCCGAATTCTCACCACGGCGGCTGCTCAGCACATCCCTGGCTGCCGTGACCTCACCATGTCCTCCTCCGTGTTCCCATGATCTAACCATGTCCTCCTCTGTGTTCCCATGACCTCACCATCCTCTGAGGCCCCTCCTAGGGCATCCTCAGCCCCATCAGGCTTAGCGAACTCGGGCCCGGCTCCTCAGACCCTGGGGCTGAGATAGAAGGACTTTAAGGCCCAGCATTAGAGGCAGGGCCTTCTAGCGCTTTCTGCCACTCTTGGGGAGGCGGTGACGGTCTTCCAGGGGGGAGGGTGCCCCGAGCTGAGGCAAAATGCTACTTCGAGAGTCCTTCATCAAGGATTGTTTATTGCAAGGCACGGTGCTGGGCACGGCGGGGTACACGGAAGAGAGGCCAGCGCCTGCCCCCAAGGAGCTCACAATCTGGGAGGGAGAGGGACAGGCGTACAGACAAGGACAGCTGGGCACACACAGGAGGGCAGAGACAGCCAACACAGTCACAGTTCCCCGGGGGCCCTGGTGCCGGCCCCCCGAGCGGGCCCACCACGGCCTGCAGCTCCCCCGATGACGTCTCGAAGAACCGACGCATGTGGGGCCCTCGGGACCTGGGGACGGGGGGCCTGGGGCGTCTGGGGGAGAGGGCAGCGGGAAGGTTATTGCAGGAAGGGGC